CCTAGAATTCCGGACGATGGGAAAAAAATCCAAAACTCAGTAATTCTATGTGACACTGGACGGCGTCAATAGCCGTCCTGCTAGGGTGGCGGAGCAGGACGAACCGAGTGAGAAATAACATGAATTGGAGACGTCTAATTCATAATGACGCAGTTTTGCAAGAATCTGGATTTCGTTCTACAGCTGCAGATGCAGTTACAACTTCCTGTTGTTTTACGAACCAGAACGGACCACATACGTACGTAAGATTGCCTTTAGCTGTCAAACAGTACGAGATCTGTGAAACGGAAATGGAACCAATGCACGCTCTTCTTACAATGGATTTTTCTTATAATGTACATTATTTGTTATTTCCAGTTTTAATTTCTAGCCTGTGCCATATGTCAACTGTTATTTTATGTAATGAGTATACAAATTAAAGCTTATGGATGGGCTGAAAAATGGTTCTTCTTGTTTCTATTTTGTGTAGTTTTTGTGTATGGATGTTTGCATTTTGTTCATATTGGCCCTCTCAGATTGGTTTGCCGTGTCGCTATTCATCCATAAAGATCCTCTGTGTATTGTTGTGCTTGTCATGTTTTAAAGACTTGCATCTTGCCCCCCCCCCAAGCCGCATAAATCGTAATATAATTATAATATAAACCTCATGTTACGAGTATATCAGATTGAAAAACCCTGAACGACATTCTGTACATGATATTTTCGAATAATTAGTAACTTCATTATGAATATTTCTCGTCGTGGCACGTCATGGATGTTGAAGTGTGCCGGGCATGCAGCACTTATGGGAGAAAAGAACACTCCATACAGAATTTTTGGTAAGAAAACTTGAAGGAAAGAGACCACTAGGAAGGCATAGGCGTAGATGGAAGGATATTATTAAATTTGTTGTTAAATAGGATTGGAGGGCGTGAACTCAATATATGTGTCGGGATTAATGTTTTTTTTTCTTGGACTTGTATATCGTCCGGTATTCTAAAGAACAATGAAGAATACGACGTTTCGGAAACCGAACATGTTTCTGTCTTCAGGTGAGGGGGTGAGAGAAATTCTTTTTTGGGTCCTTTAGAAAGAACTAACCTCAGTCACTCTTTCTAATGAATCCAACAGAGTAGGGGTCCCCCACCCCCTCACCTGATGACGAGAACAAATCCAATTTCCGAAACGTTGTGTCTTTTAGTGTTCTTTAGAATACAGAATGATGGACGGAGGCCCCAAACTCATTAATCCCAATTGTCATACATCATCGTCAGCACCCTTCAAAATCTACTCGATTTGTATTGCTCAGGATAGGGCCAATGGGGACTTCTTATGAGTACGGTAATGAACCTTTGCATTCAGTATAAAAGGCAGGTAATTTCTTGAGCACCTGAGGCAACTGTTAACTCTTAAGAAGGGCTTAGATACGTGGACTTCATTTATTTATTTTATGTTTTTATGTAACAGTGAGTGAAGTGACTGGAGGTTGGAGAAAACTACATAATGAGGAACTTCAAAATCTGTACCCTTCTCAAAGTATAGTTACAATGATCCAGGACGATTATATGGGCAGGGCATGTAGCACGAATAGAGGAGAAGAGGAATGCATATAGGATATTAGTGGGAAAGACAGAAGGAAGGAGACAAATAGGAAGACAAAGGCGTTGGTGGGTGAACAATATTAAAACGGATCTTAAAGAGAGAGGATGGAATGGTATGGATTGGATTAATCTGATTCAAGATAGGGCCCCGTGGAGGACTCTTTTGAAAACAGTAATGAACCTATGGGCTTCATAAAATGCTGGGAAGTTCTTGAGTACCTGCACAATTGGCAGCTCCTGTAGAAGGGCTCAGCTCCATGACTGATGTGTTATTAAAAGTGATACACATGAAATGGTAGATGTGACACTTCGCCTGAAGTTACGTGTAGTATCTATCTCTGAGGAAATGAATTTACATTAAGAAGGACAGAATTCCCTTTTATGCTAATGGTGCATTTCGGTAACAGGGAATGTGACGTGTGTTGAGGTGGGAACGTTTCCCGAGCACGGACGATAGTTGCACACTACCTCCAACCGATGAATAATGTTTTACTGTATTTCTCTGATTATGTGTCAGTTTCATGTCACCTGCAGACGAACGGACTGTGAGAGACTGGTTCCTTTATATTCGTTTCTGCTTTAAATGGGACCAAAATGTACGTGTATTTGATTTCTTCACGTTCATATTGATCAAAATTTTTATCGCAAGTAGCAGTATTGAAACCATTGCCTTCGGTACCAGATTAGCTGATGTTGGCGAGATATTCCAGGAGAATTTGTGGTCACCAAACCTTCTAGATACCGTAGTAGAGTGGTCAATACTAAGCGAGGCAGAATTAGAAATATAATTCTACAGAGTGGGACACACGGTAGCGTAGTTGGTTGATGCACTACGCTACAAACCAGATAGTCGCGGGTTCGATTCCCGATTAGGTTAATGGATTTTTTTCAATTTAACTAGTTCTTCCAGCCCTCTGTGATCCTGGGGTCGACTCAGCCTCGAGCAGAAATGAATACCAGAAGTATTCCTGGGGGTAAAGGCAGGCGCGTAAGGTTGACAACCTCACCACCATCTATGAGCCGATTGCCTAGAAAATGTGGAATCCTCGACGTTTAACTAACCTATGGGCCCCCACGAACTTTTATAGGTCGTAAATCCTCGTTATAACGGACGAATATGGGGGCATTTTGTCCGTTATCGCCGATGTATGCTATAACTGAGTGAAGGGGTATTGACGAAAGTACACCATAGGACACGGAATAAACGTAGAAACATTCAGTGCCATTTCATAAAGGTTTTTATATTGGGGTTCTGTTTTGTTTTAAATAATTTGATAACTCTAAAACCTTGTTAGTGACTCAGCGTCTTTAAAATTACAATTGTACACAGCCAGAGGAGCCTGGATAGCGCAGTCGGTATAGCGACTGGCTACGGGCTGGACGGCGGAGGGTTCGGAGTTCGAGTCCCGGTGGGGTCAAGAATTTTCTCTTTTCGAAAGCGTCCAGCCCGGCTCTGGGGCCCACCCAACCTCCTATACAATGAGTACCGGGAGGTCTATCCCCGGGGGTAAAGCGGCCGGGGAGTGAAGCTGACCACTGACCTCCAGCTAGTGCTGAGGTCAAGAAAACTTGGATCTATACATCCACTCCCCCCATACGCCTTCATGGCATAGTGCTTGATTAGTTAAACACAGAGACAACTTGACCTTTTTTTACACAGCCATATTCTGTCCGTTATATCCTGTCCCGTCATGGAGGGGGTTTACTCTGTTGAATTTTACTGTCTTCTGGGATCGGACGCTGTTTATATTCTTTTGCCCTGAAGATTCAGGCAGCATATTTGTGTGAAACAGCGATCTGCATATACCAAATTACGTGACATGACGTCCCGGAAGACAGGAATATTCATACACACAGCTTTGCGAATTTCGAAACTCATGTATAATTATTGATACAGTTATTGACTTTTTGGATATATCGTCAAATTTTTATTTAAAATAACGTTTCGGATACTAGACTCTGCCCCCTTCCTCAGGTAAAAACGTACTTAGTTGGGCCCAATCGATAGACTTAGTTCTTATTTTTATACGTAGGTATCGACTGAAATTTGAAAGTAGGAATGGCTACCTTTGTTAAGAAATGGTCTGTCTTGACCGCAAATTGACAGACCAGGTCATGTCTCTTTCCAAATAAAATCTTGTTCTCTGGAATTTTGTTTCCACGAGACGCTGTGCTGAAGGAGGAACGTATGTCATTGTTCCATTTTGTGGTCTCAGAACTAAATGAATCGGTCCCGGACCGTTACATAAGGACATAACTGTTCTCAGCTGTGATTCCTCGGTGACTAGGCTAGAACTTAGCTGACTGCAGGATCGGGGTTCTATTACTGGCAGGAGGAACAGTTTTCTCTGTCTGCTGCAGTGTCGAAGCCGGCCCTGGGTTCCCACCCAGTTTTCCTGTTTAGTGGGTTACGGGGCGTCTTTCTCTGGGGATAAACAGGCTCGGGCATGGAAATCACCTCTCACCTCCGTCCAGCTCAAAGGTTAATGCATGAAGCTATCAGTTCATTTTGCCACGCGTCTTGATAACGTGGTGCTTAATTAAGTACTGGGACACGTTTATCTTCTCTTTGTTACTACCTTCAGTATCTGAGAGCCACGATAGCGACGGGCTGCGGACTGCACGGTCGGGGTTCTACTCCCTGCAGGGACAAGATATTTTTCATCACTCCACAGCGCCCAGACAGGCCTCGTATCTGGAAGGGGGCACGTTCCTTTGGGGGAAGGATAAAGCAACCGGGGCGTAAATCTGAGCGTTCACCTACAACTAGTGCAGAGGTCAAGAATAGTGGAGCTATACCTCCAACCACCATATGCCTTCATGTCACCTTCAATATCTTACTTACATATGGAGAAGCCAAATCTGCAGCTACTCAAGAATTTCGCAGCATTTTATGGAACCCGAAGGTTCATTACCGTGTACACAAAACTCTCCACTGGTCCATATCTTGAGCCAGATCAGTCCAATCCATACCATCCCATCCTATCACTCTAAGATCCATTTTAATATTGTCCACCAACCTACGCCTTTGTCTTCCCAGTGGTCTCTTTCCTTCTGGCTTTCCCACCAATATCCTATATGCATTCCTCTTCTCCCCCATTCGTGCTACATGCCCTGCCCACCTCATTCTCCTTGGCTTGATCATTTTAATTACAGTTTGAGAAGAGTACAAGTTATGAAGCTCCATGTACATTGTATGACAATACACCTTTACTGCATGTCCGGTATGTAGTGAAGCAATGAAAGTAAGAAGTACGCCTCGTGCTTATCGAGAGGGCACACTCGTTGCCTTGTATTTCCTTCGGACCGTCGCTAGGGGTAACATGTTTCTGTTTATTTTCCGCAGACATGAGGAATGGCCAATGTGAACAAAGCTTGTTAAGTAATAACCAGTTTGATCTCGCATATTGTTCTTTGCAGATACAAGGAAACTGAAACAGTCTTGGAAAGAGCGTATGTATTTCTTTGTGCAGCTCCCACGTAGCTTTTCGTGTGTCTGTGTGTGTGTCAGTAGTCCTGTGTGGTCTTGGTACCCCCCTGTTCCTCACACAAAGCACACCAAGGTCGATCCGCTAATCTGAAGGGAAGACGCAGGAATATCCGGAGTATGGATTAGATCTCCTGAGTTCCGATTAGGACTTCTAACTCGGATCTCATCCTAAATCAATTGCGTTGCTATTCTCAGGAAAAGAACCCTGTTTCTACGTGTTGATTTCCTTTGTGTACACCACAGTCTGCTTTTGTGTAATTAATTATGGTTAATGGGGGAGGGATTCGGTAGCGCAGTTGATTGAGACACTGTGCTGCAAGCCGGCGGGTCGCGGGTTCGATTCCCGATAAGATAATTGGAATTTTCAATCGATCTAATCCTTCCAGCCTCACTGTGGCCGTGGGGTCTACGCAGCCTCTAACAGAAATGAGTACGATGAATCTTCTCGGGGCTGTAAAGGGTGGCCGGCGCGTAAAGCTGACAATATCGTCTCCATCTGTGAGCCGGGTGTCTAGAAAATGTGGGAGCCTCAATGTCTCACAGCCCTGTGGGCCTCCACTCCACGTTACAAGGAGAGCTTTACTTTTTTTTTAATATGGCTAATGGTTTTCATGTTAATTTTCACTAATCTATGAGTCTAGGTCACATATACTGAAACAAAAATACGAAATTATGGAGGATAATTTTTAGTTATTTCAAGAAATATTAACTTAAAAAGCAACAAGAATTTCTGGGAAGAACTATATGCTTTTCTTTGTTACGACACGAACCGAATAAAAAAAACATCGAATGAGAGGCACAAACACTAAAGAAACAAGGTGATCTCTTAAATCTCATAACAAAAATTATGAACGGGTACACACTGACAGCAAGGTGATGTCATAAACCTTCTTACACAAATTTGTGGAAGGGGAATACACAAACATGGACAGACACAGACGGAAACACAGAAATGCCACAAGGTGACGTCATAAACCTTTATTTTTTTTTCAAAATAAGAAAAGTAGGCTGAAAATTGTGACTCATTAAACAGTAATCAGATATCAGAATCTGTTAAGGTATTAACCCCGGAAATTGGCCCAATGTGTTGAAAACTTTGAGCTACAGATCCGAAATGTATTCTCAAAATCCATTAGGATATGGAATTGTCACGGAAATGCCCAAAACGAAATATCGGTCGCTGTTCTAAATTTAACATGCTTAGCATTGAGGCTGAACAGTTTCTGTGCAAGGAAGCAGAGAGGATTGCGGCATTTCATTCTAATTACCTCATTGCAACAGCTTTGTTCAGAAGCCAAGAAACACGACAAAAGTTGCAGCTCAGCCATCTCGAATATAACGCTGTGTTGTTACTGGTTTGCAGTCTGAACATAAACAACACCAAACGCTTACGACCGACAAGTAACAACCCTTTAACCTCGGCTTCTGTTTTCCATTACGTTGTATAATAGCAATTGAGCTGGTCAAGACAGGTTGACAGTAAACTAAACAGAAATTACTTTCGTTTTCAATTGAATTGTCATGTTATTGGACCCAGAATTATAAAGTTGTGTGACTTTTGTGGTTTTAGAACAGGTGTTGGCTTTAACATGTGAATTAGAATTTCAATTAACCGATCTAAAAGCTAAATGTATGCCTCTCATTAACTGAGTGTGATACTGCGCACTTCTCAGCGATTCTGTTATGACCGATGTGTAACTTCCACGTAACCAGAGTATAACTAATTAAATAACATGGATATGTCGTTATAGCGCTTACGCGCTCTACTAAATTACTAGAGATATTTGAAATGTATGTCAACGAAAATATAGATGAAATAATATTTATGAATTCTTGTTATCAAAAATATTGTATCGCAGTGTCGTATTATGTGTGAGGCTACATTTTTTATTTGGCCTTTCAACAGTTATTTATATATATAGTAAAATTAAAAAAGTAAAGCTATCCCTGTAACAGGCCGTGAAGGCCCATAGGGCTCTGAGTCGCTGAGGGTCCCACATTATCTAGACAATTGGCTCAAAGATGGCGGTAAGGTAGTATATATTTTGTTTTTATAGAAAACTGTTGTGTACACTGCCCCAGTTATACATATCATTATACATATACAGTATTATGCTCGCATTCCTACATATGGCACACAACAGGATGCATATTATAAAGATTATATACACACAGTGCACTGTATCTAAACACATAATTTTGTGGCTGCAGTCCGATAAATAAAACAGCTCTTGTTCTTAAACTTTCGGAACTGGAGATTAATACGATATCACCTATCTTAAATACGCTTTTTAGAACGTTTCGGTAGATATTTCAGTAGCCGTCTTCAGGGTTAATATCCTTAGGAAAGTTTTATAATTACATAGATCTGGCTGTGGGCGTTGGGTCAGAGATGAAGCCATGATTGGGCGAAATGTAGGAAGGAACTTGTAGGCTCTCAGACAGTCAAGGCTTCCCCTCCAGTTTAACCGTTGATTCCTCCGTCCCCCAAAAGACAATATCCGTGAAGACGGCAATTCATTCATTTATATTTAAGTATTGTGCCACGTGAGAACGACTTAGTAGTAGGGTCGAAACATGTAGTGGATTAATAAAACACATCAAACGATCCTGAATGTTTTGTACTTTCTCTTTAGACGTGGATGGGTTCTTAGAGAAATAGGATGGTAGGGTATGGGCTGGATTCATCTGGCTTAAGATAGGGACCAGTGGCGGGCTCATGTGAATACGTTACTGAACCTTCGGGTTCCATAAAATGTTGGAAATTTCGTGAGAAGCTGAGCGACTGGTAGCTTTTCAAGAAGGACTCGGCTCAATGGAGTTCGTTTGCTAGTCAGTCAGTTGACTAGTTCGATGGTTGGTTGGTTAGTTGACCGCGCTATAGCTTAAGCGGTTAGTCGCTGGCTTCCCACCGCGGCGATCCGGGTTCGATCCCGGATCTGCTCAAGTGGGATTTGTGGTGGACAAATTGGCGCTGGGGCCGCATTTCTCCGAGTACTTCGGTTTCCCCTGCCAATCTTCATTCCACCAAATTCTCCATCTTCATAATCACCCGGGGCACCGTGCCGAGTGGACCCAGTTGGACTCCACACCTCAATAAGCGAAGTTAAAAAAAATTTTAGTGTTAGTTAGGGAGTAACTGCAGTTCCCACTGTGATAGCACAGCCTATCTAATAAAAAGAAATCTGCTTTTGAACGATCCGAAGAGACTCGGTCTGCCGCAAAGAGACTCAGTCTGCCGCAAAGAGACTCGGTCTGCCGCAAAGATGAAGCGCGAAGTAACGAGAGCTTCTACTTGTAATGACAAGAGTATTAAAGCCCATTGAACCAGTGAGGAGGTGGAAAAGCGAACCACAGCAGCCTCTCACTCTGCACCCTTCATAATGTGAAAGCTGTTTAATTAAAAGTTTTGAAGCCTTTTCAATCCTATGTCAGTTTTCAGTACCACACCTTATAGCGTATTCATTAACATGTTCAATTTACTTTGACTGTGCTGAGGTCATACAATGCTGTACTAGACCGCTTGACATCTTAAATGCAGCTCAGTAGACGCAGTGTTCGGTAGATTAATGTGGCATGAATGAAACAGGGAGAATAGCGGCCGAGGTCAGTGCTGTTTGACGTAAATGACCTCGGCCGTGAATACACGCAAGATGAGAGCCAATAAGAAAGAAGAGATTATGTAATTGTTAGCTTCAGTGGCCTTGGTTTCCATCATAATGACTCTCATTTTAAGAGAACGATCTTCTGGGCTATAACGCCGTGTAGTTATATATAAATTCATCTCCTCGAACGAAATTATCGTCTCCATTTTCAAGTGCGAAGAGTAAAGGTTCGGCCACATAGAGCGCTACGTACTCGACGCACGCTACGTACGCTATGTTCGCTATACGAACAGAAAAATATCTCCCTTTATTGCCAATGTGCCTGGCCACACAAACTTCCGTACGCTACGTACGCTATGTTCCCTATGTTAGCTGCGTCGCAGTGTACACAGAGTACGTAGCGAACATAGCGTAGCGCTCTGTGTGGCCGAATCTTAAAGCAAGCAAGAAGCAGGCTGCGCGGTGAGCTTGCGCAGAAGATCGCCCTCTTCATCCTCACCGCTGTGAAAACCTCAAATCCAACACTGTTTCTTCTCTTGTTTACATCCAACTTCATTGTTTGGTTTGCATTCGTTTTTGTGATGTTTTAGAAGCTTGTTACTTTAGTGCCACTACCTCTGGATGTGTTGGTGTTGTGTTTTGTGTTTAGTGTTTTGTGTCTGTCTTCGTTACTGACAGTGTGTGTACGGCTGTATTCGTGTTAGTCTGCACTGTAGGATGTTAGTGATATATGTACATATTAATGTTTAATTTTAGAATAATTCAGATCTTCTTCGTACGTTCTCTGTTGTCTTCTCGTCTGCTGTCAAAAACATAAAAATTAGAATATAAAAAACTAATTTTGCCTGTGGTTTTGTCTGGGTGTGAAACTTGGTCTCTGGCACTAAGGGAGGAACATAGACAGAGGGTGTTTGTGAACAGGGTGTTGAGGAGAATATTTGGACCGAAGAGAGATGAAGTAACAGTAGGTTGGAGAAAACTGCGAAATGAGGAGCTTCATAACTTGTACTCTTCTCCAAGTGTAATTAGAATGATCAAGTCAAGGAGGATGAGGTGGTCAGGGCATGTAGCACGAATAGAGAAGAAGAGGAAAGCGTAGAAGATATTGGTGGGAAAGCCAGAAGGAAAGAGACCACTGGGAAGACCCAGGCGTAGGTGGGTGGACAATATTAAAATGGATGGGATGGGATGGCTTGGATTGATCTGGCCCAGGATAGGGACAAGCGGAGGGCTCTTTTGAACACGCTAATGAACCTTCGGGTTCCATAAAATGCTGGGAAGTTCTTGAGTAGTTGCGCAGTTGGCGGCTCCTCAAGAAGGGCTCTGCTCTATGGAGTTAGTTACTTACTTCGATTTCG